TTGGAATTGTACGACGAGTACAGCAACACAACGTTCCAGCAACTGAAATGACACTCTCTCTTATCCTCGTAAAACACCATCGTCAGATCGGATAAATAAATAAATTGAACAAATAAATAAAATGAATGAACAAATAAACAAACGAATTAACAAATTCCATTTAGACTGGAAAAGTAAAGGGCAGAAAAAACCAACCCTTTGTAGTGAATCCGCATTACTGTCTAAATATCGCCGACCACGAGCCTCTTCTTCACTCAGTTTTGCGTCCGCATACGTCATATAGTTCTGCACACCATTTGATTCCAGAATCTAAAATAAACCAACCATAAACTCGGCTCAATATTTTAAAATGGATCAAATTACGAGAAGCATTCCCCAAAAAAATATCAATGAAGCGAAAAAATTTCTCGCCATAAAAATTTGAATGATTCACAATTGTATGATTCACCTGAGATGCACGCGATTTGTAGAATTTTTCCGTTGCATCAATATACGCCTTCTCAAAGTTTGCTTTATACACGGCCAGTGTATCATTTGCATCCAAATTCAGCGACACTGCAACACAGATAATCGCTATTCGATCACACAACAGCAATAGCAACAATAAAGATATTATCATCAAAGGGACAGTCATGCATAAGCAAACAAGTAATATATTCTATGGAATATCATTCCTCCAAATAATCGCAATTAAAATGGGGATATGCTAACGATTAACAACACATGCAAAAATACGTATTTGCACAGTAATTCAAACGAATCAACGCAGTTCTTTTGCAAACTGAATCGAAAGAACAACACCGCAGTCTATATTCCTTACCATAAGATTGTCGAACTCCAATCACAAGTTGTGGATCGAACGCCTCACCGTTACGTTCAGCCTCCACCAACTTCATGGCCGCATTTTGCAGTTTATCTTTGATCCCTTGGAAGATTGTTATGTTCCAATCTTCTAACATCCTCTGAAAATGCAAATCAGACAATAGCAATGAGTGATGATAACACTAAGAATAATATGAACAATTATAATGACAACAACGATGAGATGGATGATAGCAATAATGATGATGAAAACAACAAAAATAATAATAATAACAACAATAATAATAATGTGATAACCATGATAATAATCTGTTATAATAACTGACCGCAGAAATGATACTCGTCGCATCCTTCACGGATCGATTCCGTCCTCCGGCACAATTCGTTGAA